TCCTTCTCTGTGTATTTGCCCTTCTTGACTGAACGATTCTTGCGGTCGAGCAGTGCCTTTCTGTCTTTGTCCAACTTCAGCTTGGTGATCATCACCTTGGACGGGTGGATGGGAATGGGCACGCTCTGCCCATTGGCCTTGTCCCTGGTAACGCGCTCCACATGGATGCGGAACTTTTTGCGGTACACTTGCGTTACCTTGCCCTCCCTGTCATGGTAGTGACCTCGCACAATCATCACCTCATCGTCTCGGCGAATGGGCACTGCTCGCACAGCATACTTGGCTCGCAAGTCCTTGCTCAGCGGCGCACTCATCAACTTGCGCCGAATGTGTGATGGCGCCGTGAAGTGCGCCTTGCGGTTTTTCCGCCGGGAGCATGTTACCGTGGCCTTCTGCTTCATGGCGAAGCTGCGCCCTATTGGCGCAGTCTCTAGGATGGGACGATGTCGGTTTGACCCGCTGGCAGGAAAGGATTGCTCATGCTTGGAAGCCTCACAAGGAAACCTATAGTGTCACAATGCAACAAATCAACAAAGAATCACCTCTTTGTAAACCGAGTGCGCTTAAGGCACTTCCAATTCCACATAGCAATACCGCTTCCAATCTCAACTTCATGCCCTGGCACCTAGCTCAAGACCCACGATTTGACTTGAGCTGCTGAGGTGATGTGGAGGCAGTGTATGCTGCAGCTGTGCGGGTGAGACTGGGGCAGCTCCAGGACATTTTGCAAACTTTGACTTGCACAATATGAACATGGGAGAATGACGGTATGACTTTAGGGCTACAACCTTGGAGCCCTCGAGCTCAGGCCCCGGGATCGCACATTTGGTTAGATATCCAGCCATTTTAGCCGTTGCCCCTCACTCCAGAGGCCCTTCCGTTGCCTGGCCGTCAATCAGCTTCCAATTCCCTCACGCCAAGTGAGCTGCCTGAGCAGCCAGCCCAGCCTGCCCTTGGCGTCGAGGAAAACACCCACGCCATGCTGCCGGCCCATCTCCCATTGGCCGCGATAGGACCTATCATTTTGCTGGGCTTTCGAAGTTATGAGCAGGTTCTCACGGGCCTTCCATCCGGCCATGTGAAGCTGCCCTCTCCAGACTTGCGGTCCTGCAAGTGCAGTTCAAGCCGTATGAAGCCTGAATGCCCTTCGCGCACCTCCGCGAAACCACCAGTGTAAGAGCGGCCGTCAGGCCACGTCATGGTGCCATCACCATGCATCTTGCAGGATCACAAGGAAGCGCTAGAGTCGCTTGAAGCGTGCAGAGTTGCACCTGACTGCCCTTCCACGCACCAGTGTATACCCTGCCATCGGCAAATCTGTAGATGCCCTGACCTCTGCATGCCAGCTGCTGGCTGCAAGCAGGGGGCAACAGTGGCAGCAACAGCTGGGTGGGCCTTCCATGGCATCCTCGACAAATTGGCCGGAGTAACTGGAGCTGTCAGTGGACAAGAAGAAGCCATTACCTTGCAAAAGTCAAGGATATTCTTCAAGGCATCTTCATTTCTGAGGCCGTAAATCCTTAGTCTTCCACCATGCTTCATCCCGTTCTTGTATTCACCTTTGAAGTGCGACCTGGCACTTTCAGCACGGGTGACCCAAGCTCCAAAGCTGCAAACTTGCCAGTCAAGCCCATCTGCCCAGGTTTCAAGTCCTCTGCCGGACTTGGTATCCTTGCGGCATCACGTCTTGGCATGCGGGCATCAGATTCCAGTAAAGAAAAGCTGAGAGCCGCTCCATCTCCCAGTCGCCTTCATAGGAGGAACCATCTGCATGGATAAACTTGCCTTGCCCATGGGCCTGGTCGCATTGGCTGACAAGGAGAAGACCCCCAACATCCGACAATCCCACCTTGTCCTCGAACCAATGTCCGCTGTAAACGTCGCCGTTGGCATGGCGAAACCTCGGGCTGATTCAAGGCTGCAACGCCTTCACTGCCAGCCGGCTTAGACAGTGCCTGCCTGCCCACACCATGAGCTTTGTCATGGCGGAACTGGCCATCGTAGCGGCCACCATCAGGCCTGATGCCAGACTTGCGAACGTAGGCAAATGCAAAGTTCTAGGTTGAACCAAACGCACAGCTCAACTGGAGCCGCGCCTAGTCATGGTGCCCTGGCCATGGCGCTGATCCTGGTCTGCGCTCGCTCAGCCGCGACTTTCGACTTTTGAAGATGCTGCCGAGGCTCTCCAAGCCACTGCCCTGCATAGACAGCATCGCCCGGAAGTTGAACCTGTCCGGGGTGCTTTTTATCTTGGCATGTGCATCTTGCGATGCAGGTCTGTGGGAATACAAGGCAAGAGATTTTTTGTCCTGCTATGCAGCCATAAACCGGCCCGACGACTCAATCTTCCGCAAATAATTGCGCATCCGCAGCACTAGTGGGATGCGATCTGCGCATGCTCCGCGTCCACGATTCTTTGGTGGTACGAGTCGCAGCATCAAGACCTGCAAGCCCAGAACAGTTCAGCCAATTGAAGTCGCAAGACGCTTCAGAGGCCATCGAGATTCGCAAGCGCAAGACCAAGCCGCCGGTCACTTGCCTCTTCCCGAACAGTCTTCAAAGAATTTGGCTTCGCCGAGCTGCGGAACAATGCCAGCGCCGAGCGGATCCGGACGATGTTGCTCGCGACTTCTTCGGCCGTTCTACTGAACGCCTCAGGCGCAGCTGAGTTTGAATAGTTTGAATCCATCCTCGTGGATCCCTACACCCTCCCTCCATTCCCTACACTTCCCTTCAGTCCTACAGAAACACATCAAGATACGGGAGCAATATTTATGGGACCGCATGCAAATTAAAGTGATTCAGGGTTGCTTGGTGTTTCTGTGGGCCCCGTTTGATGGGTGGGGTAGTAAGAGAGGCGGGGTCATATAACGTGTGATATATGCGAATTGAAGTTATGATTTGAGTCTGCAGTGCTGAGCCGAACGCAGGCCGTACTCCTAACATGTTGTTCTTCCTTCACCTCATGAAATGTGTGCACGCACACACACAATTTTGGAGTGGGTCGACCCAAACTGATAAGAAATTTGCTGTTGCACGGGTCTGGCCTCCGAAGAGCTGTTGTAGACTGTCCAGTTCAGTGTGGCCTCAGCAAACTCGGGCAGGTGCAAGCGGTAGAAGTTGTCCAAAATTTCATCCATCCGGATCATCCACATCTGCTCGTAGCAGAGCAGCGTGGAACCACCAAGAGAGGCCTGAAGGGCCCTGGCCAGGAAGGTCCGTGCAAGGACGGGATCTACACCAGAGGCAGCACTGGCACAAAGCAGGCTGCTGGAGACCACAGCAGTCGCACATTCCAAGTCACCAGCCTCGATGAATGGCCGAAACCTATCACAAGCTGGACCTAGGGCACTCAGCTGCTCCTTCAAGGAGAAGAGCAAAGCTGTAATGAGCTTCTGAGCGGTCTGGAACTGCTCTGTGCACATACACGGCATCATTCGTGCTCGACGCAGCCAATCCAACTGCAGGCGCTCCTCTGGCACCTCCCACTTAAAGGAGTCTGAACAACCCCGACTCCTACAGCTTTCGAAGCGTGGCCAACCAATTAGGAGCCGTTCTCGGTACATCTCTGGGCCTGGTGCAAACAAGCCATACTTGGAACCAGCAAATGGAGACCGTGCACGCTCATCAGAGCATTCCCGCGAGTCCTTTCCGACTGTGCACTGGAGCTCACGCTCCTGATAGAAGCGCAAGACTTGAGTGCCGCAAACAACGTCCAACTGGGAACCAGGAGTCAGGACTACACTAGGGCAGGCCACCTGCATGAACTGCCGAATTCCCCTAAAAAGCGTCAATGGACCCATCCACTCACTGCGGCACTGGATGCCATCCATGGTTGCGTCATAGACTCGCGGAACTTGCCCCCGATACCATTTTCGCAACTCCACAAGGGCGGCATACAGAATTGAGCTGAAAGGCTCGCTTGCCATCATGGCATTGAGCATGGCTCCGTCGGCTGTGTACGCCGACATGAAGGTTGTCGACAAACCCACAAGTGAATTCAATGGGACCATCAGTTCGATGTCTAAGTCTACGTAAAATCCACCCTCACGGTATAGCACTGCTGTTCGGCACAGGTCCCCTCTGAAGGCACCGCGATATTCGCGGCGAAACATTCCAGCAAGCTCTGCATCGAAATGTCGCGTGATGTAGGAGTGGCAATCCGCATCGCTGAACCAATGTACCTGAAATCCTGGGTTTGCGGCCATAATGCGCTCTGCATTCCGCCGAAGTTCCACAGGCAACTCGGGCAAACTGCCAGGTCCAGTCAGCACAATCTGGGGCGGAATAACGATGTTGTGCATGCACGGCTCCAAAAGCCAGCAACGTCTCCAGCGGCTAGCGGCCCGAAGATCATGCCCATTGCAGCAGGGCAAGTGCAGCCAATACACTTGGGGACATGAACACTAGCCTGACACGCTGAAACAGCATCTACCTAATTCCGACAAGCGGTCTGGTCTGGTTGCACATACGTGGCCGCAAGCAGCCTGTGGATATTCAAAATGAAACTATGAATTTGAAGTGGTTTCGGTGCAAACCTCTCGCGCCGTTCTGACATTTAATGAGCTCAAGCGCTACCACTGCTGCCAGCTGTCTGCTAATGCTTAAACCTAGCGTGATGCCGCTATGGCTGAGCTGTTCCTACAGCTCTGTGTGAAGCTGCCATTAGGATTTTGAGCCGAAGCAAGAAGAGTAGAATCTGAGTAGAAGCTTTATGGATGCCATCCACAAAACACGGCGTCTCAGTCTCTTCCCAGACTCTCCCCCCCAGCCACAACAATGGCCATGAACCGACGACGAGGACGACGACAACGACGGACGACGACAAGGACGGCGACCAGGACGACGACGCTGGCGGTGACGACGCTTGCAACGATTACGACAACAATGCAGGCGACCACACGACGAAGCCGGCACCAGCAGCACCAATTCCACCTCAACAACTACTACCACCGCCACCACCGCCGCCACTGCCACCGCCACCGCCACCGCCGCCTCAACAACAACAACAACAACAACAACAACAACAACCACCACTGCCACCACCGCCACCACTGCCACCA